TGGTCAGAGAGCGCCGTCGAGTGCAGGGTGTCATCGTCCTGCTGGTCGGAAGATACCCAGTCGGTGTCCGGTGCCTCGACCGCGGTGGATTCGGAGTCTGTCCAGGTGTGCTGCGAAGCGGCGTCACCGGCGAGGCGCGCGTCAGCGACGGTGGCACGGAAGTACCGGGGGAAGCGGAGGACGAGGGGCGGGATGTAGCGGAACGGTGTCCCATCGCCTGGCATGGAGTCCGAAGCAGAGGGTGAAATGGAGGGAGAGTGCTCGGACGCGGACGGAGTGGTGTCGCTCGAGGACGGTGGCACGAAGACGCGCGGGGGTGGCGATGGCGGAAGGGCAATACCTCCCTCCGCGGCGGCGCGGCACGTCTCCTCGAGATCAAGATCGAGGTCCGCCTGCCGCGCGCGCAGGTTGCAAAACGACCGCACGACTTCGAGGCGTGCCGTGAGCTCCTGCGGCGTGGGCGCGTGGAAGACGGGAGGGCGGGGGGAGGGCTCCACGACGGGCGGTGAATACTCGATTGACGACGAGGGGGAAGCGGGGGGTGATGGGGAGGGAGAGCGCGAGGGAGGAAGCGGGTGGAGGTGCGGCTGCTTGTAGTGCGGCCACGGGGGAGCCACCTGGCTCTCGGCGGGAGGGGACGCTGGAGGAGTGGGGAGGTTGTACTGTGGGTCGTTGTACCGCGGCCAGGGCGGAGCAAGCTCGCCTTCCTTGAGGGAACTCTGGGGCGCGGACTTACGCACGTCAGGCCAGCAGGTCGGGTATCGCGGTGCCTGGTACTGAGGCTGAAACTGAGGCCACTGCGGCGCAAGGGCGTAACCGACGTGCACCAGCGAGTGGACACCGGGGCAGTAGTAATGTGGCCAGTCTGGGTTTGTCGCTGGCCGGGGGACAGGGTGGCTGCTGGTGGGGAAATATGCGTCGCCCGTGAAGTTTGGGTCTCGGAAAAACGAGGGGAGGTGGAAGATGGGCTGGTGCCCATCGTAGGCCGGCTCGACGTCTTCCCCCTCGCGGAGTTCTGGCGTCTGGGTATGGTCAGCGAGGGCTCCGGGTCGGTTGTACGGGCAACTCACCATCCACTGATTAGGACTCCCGACATACAACTTCTGTCCCCAGATGCTCTGGTGGTCGGTGTTTACAGGCTGGGGACGAGTTAGCTCGGTGCCACTGGCTATACAAATACATATCGTACCTGGAGGACGGAGGATTGTCTGGCATAATTAAATAGGGTATCGCGGTCGAATCGGTTCGCAGTCGCGTTCATCTTGAGTGTAGAAGGTGGAGAAAGGGAGCACTTGAGACGAGTGGCGTTCGAGAAATGGAGCTGTTGGGCTGAGTTCGATATGCTGCAGGGAAGTGGCGAGCGGAAGAAAGAGCGGTGGCTCTCTCTGAAAGCCTGACGCCCTTTTAAAGGGCACCGCGCTTTGACGGCACGCGGCGTGATCGTGACAATGGACTCGGAATGATGGCGCTCTGAGCGCTTTGGGTGGCTTTGATTCCGCATTCGGTGACCACGCGCCCATTGTGCTCGGCATTCCCCGTCCAACCTTCGGGGAACTGGCCACCAGGCAAGACAAAGGTGAGCCACTCGAGAAACGAGGATTTTCTAGTGGGGTAATTACGCTTAGACCGTTGATTTCGCGCCGCGGTACTCTTTGTTTGTTCTGTCGCTGTTTTTCCCTGCCGAAACTTGAGGACATGGAATTGAGCGCGAAAACTATCGTACTTGGCCTGAAATGCGTGAGGCACGAAGAAATCCGCGGCGTCTGATAACAGTACCAATCATGCCATGGGACACTATTCCGCCTCAACGGCGTCTTCCGATTTTGTGGCCGCCTCCTGGGTATTGAACTATAAGTGGAGTCTAGGAAATAATCACGGGGATGATGATCCTTCAGCATCGGCTCCATCGGCGGGCTCGACACGAAGAACTTTTCGAAAGTCACCCAGGGCTTATTCCAAGCCACCTGTAAAGTCTGACAGACTGGAAAAGTAATCCTTCACCCGGATAACGCGGGCGGCCACGGACGAGATCCTCCGCTTCTGTCACAGCGATGTCGTCTGCGTCCTCTGCGTCCAGAGCGATTTAAACCGCGGCATGGGCTACAAGCGGTGTGTCCCTCGCCTATCAGGGTGCAGCGGAATGCTGTCTATGCGGCGGTGAGAGCCCAGTGCCTCGCTGGATATGAATGGGTGCGATGAAGTCGGTAGAGAAGAGTTTCGGATGCCCAATAGCGGCCCTGATACCTATACGACGGAGATCGAGACCCTACCACCGATTCCAGAGCATCAGCCACGGCATAATTTCGTCACGCAGGGGATGCCGCGACTTGTTTTGGTGACAAAGCCCATGGAGAGTGGCTATACGGTGAACGGACGTGGGGTGCGAAATGTTCTTGAAATGAGGAGTGACTCGAGGAAGCCAGCGGATGCATTGACTCCTCTGCGGCGTCGTTCAGATGCATATCAATGAATGGTGGGAATACACTCACGTACGTACATGTATGAGCAAGAAACGAAAATTGGAGACTGTTTCGCTTTGCAGTATGACTCGAATTTCATTGGTTAATCCCTGCTCAGTCTCCGCGCTGATAGCGCAAGATCGCGGTACAAATCCGAGAGCTGTTGAAGGCGTGAGATCTGTGGACCTTGGCGTCCCTTCTGAATCGATTGTAAAAGGAGCCTTACTTTGAAGAGTGGGTTCTCTACTCGAAGCATATAATCGCCTGATGCGGAGTAAAGCTTTTCAGCTCAATGATCTCATGCGGCAAGGTGGACTTGAAAACTCTTAGAGAGCTTGGTTCGGAGGGCATCTGCGGAGTCACCGACGGCCAGTGGTCCACGATTGATAGTTCTAAGATGGATTTCGAAGTAAGTAGACCGAGCTTAGGAGAAAAGTCTTGGAGGCACTGACGTGGATTGACACGTGATGAGACGCAACCGCCGTGGATGCGCAAGCAGAACCAAACAATGCGCCCGAGTCGAACGATGAGAGCACGGCATCCAGCCTATGCCCAGGGTTTATGCTGAAAATTACACACTGCTAGACCGGCGCTCTGTGATGAATGTGATGAATGTTGGATTTCCGGGGTTCCTGGGAAAAAGGAAAATACAGCGACCGGAATCTAGTCAGTGGGCCCGAGCCGAACGAGCTTCTTCAGGCTCATACGGAGTTCTCTTATCCTCATTGATAGGGATTACTGATGCACACCGTGTACTACCCCGTCTCCCTTGCTCGCAATTCTCTGGAATATGTCACATGAAAATGATAAAATCCAGCCGACTGCAGAGTCTGGGACCTGATCTACTGTACCTTATAGGTAGATCAACGAGAGCGCGGTCCGCAATCCAACTGGCGCTCTGTGAGGTGTCTACCTCGTTGTGCTGGCAAAAAGGGCCTTTCGAAAGCTAGGTGGGAATTCATTACACAGCTTATAGGAGTTCCCGACGCACGCCGAATGCTACTCCGGCTCTCATCCTCCATTCATAACCCCTTCATTCTAGCTAGATGCCTAACGGATCCTGTGTGCCATATTAGCCTCATTGAACCAATGTCGTCCCGAAACAGTGTGGCGGGGCCTGAGTCGAACGAGCACCGCCCGGTTTACTGTACTTTTTCGTTCAATTCGAATAAATCGAGAAAAAATTATTGCCGCAATAAAAAAGGTTGGGCGTGACGCGTGACTGTCGAATTGAACGAAAAGTAAAGTATTTCGGGGTCGATACTGGTGGAGGTGCGTGAAATTATTAAAATAAAGATAATAAAGATACTATGTAAAATATTGCGCGCGGGAAGGGAACTTCCGGAGGTCGGCAGACATGTACAGCCACAACAGCAGATACTGAAGAAAGTCGTTGGAGATACTCCTCGCGGCTCAGGACATCATATAGTGAATTTAATGTCAATCTATGATGGTTAAGTTAAATACATGCATTTTTTCTGTGATTATTGGAGGTGTTCTGATTCACCAGTAAAAGTGCCAAGGAAATTCGGATACTAAGCGGAGTTCGGGGATACCTAGCGGAGTTTGAATCTCGCCGGGATCCAGCCGACACCGACTTTTTCTCGCTCTTCCCCGACTTCCGCGGTCAACAAAACCATCTGTTTTATTACTCTACTTTGCTGCTCCCTCCAATTTATGTCCCCAGGCAGCACCAATTGCAACTACACTTGGTTTCAACTCGTGAATCGTGTTTCTTACATCGTTGCACAGACTCTTGTCATATTCTCAGACTTCCAGACCAATCTTACACCCATTTATCACTGAAAGACTTGAGGAAGTGTCATTTTATTTCCCTTGTCACTTCCAGCCCCAAAACATAGATGCACATAAGTAGTTGAATTGTCCGGTGCAGCCGGAACCAGCTGAGACTTGTTGGATAAATGGCATTGAGCTCTTCTCGAGGTTCAATGAGCGAACAGACCTTGTTAGGTTCCATTTGCAGTCAACACTGTGCCTCGGACAGCAGGAAAATAAGAACGCGACTTTCGAACTCGCGCACAGATCTAATTCAAACTCCGCTAGCTATCCATTTTCAGTATCGCGCACTGCCATCAGTATCGAGCCGTATTTCGCAACCCTATTGGGTGGAGTCAAGTAGGACGCACCGCCACTTCCACGTGACTGACTCGCGTGCGGACCGCGTGCGATAACCCCAGCAAACACCGTCGTAGCTAATATGATTGTAAACAGGAGGCTGCTGGACAGCAGGGATATATCTGCGTCGGGGACATGGATGACGAAGCCAAATGGCAGGCTGTAGTATAAATAAATTCAGAGGTACATGTGTCAGAAATAAATGGTCATCATGATTTGCTGCTGCGTAGAGGGCAAAAGATTTTGGGAGAGTTAGTACACATGGCTGATTTGTGTCAAATTTGTGGTGTTGCAAGCCCATTGTTGTGTCTTTGGGAGAAAACCCAGTCCACATGAAGAACCGGGATAAATATAGTTCCGACCTGCACATGCAGCGGCAAAAACATCTTCAATGAAGTTGCTTGATAGCAGCAACTCGTTTCGATCGAGTGACCTCGGGGTATCATGAGAAATATGGGCCCCGCGCGCTTCCAGACTGCGCCATGCTGCTGGTGTCGATGCCCGAAGCAATGGAGTCAGAGCAGGTAAGCTCGAGTCAGATCAGTTCGACATGGCGCGTTAGCGCTAAGTATGAAAGCTTCTTTCGTCATAAAATACGTACATTGCGAGGTGAACAATTGATGTGTGTACCCAACAATATTACTATACCGCGTACTTCCAACATTGCGCGGCGAACATCAAGTAAGCAACCCAACTACATCACATCAATTCCCACATCAGCTGTGGGTTTCCCAACGATCCTCAACGCCAAGCCCGTCAACGCGCCATTATCCCTATGTGGTTGGGGGAGGAAATTCGAATTTCATTGGGGCAAATATATTCATAGTGGGTGGTAGTCAGTCGGAACCACCTAGCTTGATCTGGTGAGATCACTGAGTGTGTTGTACAAGTGTTGTATTGAGACATGTAACACCTTTCCGTGTTCGCTCCGTTCTGTTTGTTTTGTTTATTTTTCTTTGAAGAATTAAAATACCCGCCAGCCGATACAAGGGATCTCCATCCTGAAACGATATGTCTGGTACTAACAGACCCAGGACGGAGCGGACAAATTGGCCTGTTTCGTTGGCACTTCCCACCTCCTTCAAGATATTCTGTTGGCACAGGCTGGCTTGGAGAGGAAGTGCCTCTGGAAAGCTAGTTGGGCGGCGTTATAGATTTACCACGGTTTGATGGGTTGGGGATTGATTTGGGATCGGCTAACCCGTTGGGATGATGCCTGAGATTGCCATGATGGGATACTTGATCGGGCATTTACAGGCCACGCATAGCTCATGCCGTACGTACGCACACGTCGCAGATAGCAGATGCACTGCATATGATCTCATCTCCGTGCATTGTGAATCTCACTGTACAGTTTTATTGTTCACATACCTCAAATGGAAGCAAATGTTGGATTTGAAATGTTGATGCACCACAAATGGAAGCAAATGTTCGATCTGAAATGTGCGTGCACCACAAGTGGAAGTTGATTTTCGACTTGAAATGTTCAGCCCGCATTACTAAGTATTTTTGACGATAAATACTGTCATACGTGTTTGTGTGTCTTGGTTGAATGTCACACTGACTGGAATTATCGAGGGTACCATCGGAGAAAATACGGATGTGGGATGAAGTTGACTAGCGATGCTTGCACTTAATAGGACCTCATTATAAGAGAATACCAAGAACAACAGAGTGTTGTTGTTACAACAATACTCGGTTGTCAACTGTGGCCAAAGGGGATTATTGTTTCTTAAAATTTGGGGCCAGTTGTGTCATAGCATTTATTGGGGGGCTCCAGTGTTCTTTTCTGGATCCTGGATTACTGACTTGGACTGGTACTGTTCTCGGTCTCGCTTTCCCGGCCAATTCGGAGTTGATTGACAGCGTGCGAACAATCCAGAGGCAAGCGATCGGCACCGCCACTACATCCTTTCTCTCGAACCACTTGCTCCTTGAAGCTCCGCCAACGACTGTTGGTCACTCCCACCCAACCATCCGCCGTAATTCCAGAGATGCTCACTGCATGAAGGCGCTCCATCGGATCTAGCTCGTACATCAGGAAAAACCCAAACTGCTATGGGCTCTGTGGGTTGACATACAGATGCACATAGACACATATGGACGCTATCTACCCGTGCTATGTGGCCTAAATCCTCTATATAAGTCTATGTCTGTCTCTATGGCACCTCATTGCACTTTGATGTACCTGATACCTATACTTATCCTCGGCTTGCACTTGCCGGTCTCGCAACTCTCGAGACGCACCAAACATATGCATTGTCTGATCACCTACGCTACGCTCTCGGAAGAATTTTGGACGGAACAAGGCAAGATGTTGCAATCACTCGGGCAAACTGAAAATTTTGGATAAGCTCGATCAAACTTATGATCTCGCGGTGATCCTGTGGACATTGCGGACTTTCGGGACGGCTGAAGTGTTTCACGTCGGCTTCGATCAAACGGTGCAATTGCAACGTTGTACCTGATTCTGTTATATGCCTACTATCAGCGAAAAGCAACAGCCGATTAGATTGGCCACGGCGTTGTGGCATGACTCTGTTGTTCTATGGCAGTTGCCACTAAGTTGCCACCGACTGTGACTTTGACGCATCGGTCGCTAGCCACTGGGCGCTTCGCCCGTCAAACGATGCCGACTGCAAGAGCTGTAGAATCCCGGGTGCAGTCATACCATTCGGAAGGCGGTGCCGCTGACAACTGTCCCGATGCAATCGCGAAACTCTCAAGTGGTCAGAGCCCCGCGACCGCATAGATGATCTCAGGGAATGTGCCGTCGCTCCCATATCTCTCGAATCTCCCCACAGGCAGCAGTCGCAGTTTTCTCTTCTCAATCTCATGATGTCGGTCCATCAATCTGCCGACAACTCGACGGAAGGCGCTCGGCGCTAGTTCAATAATAGAATCCCGCCTTAACCGCGTGTGACAGACACCAATGAACCTCAATCGAGTACAACGTAGTCAGCTCAGCGCTAACCATCCGTATTAAAGCAGGATGCTTCAGATATAAATTTACATCGCCCACTCGGTAGCATGGACTGCCAATTTTCCTTCGGCCCCAACCGCTCATACTTCTGCAGTGCCGGTTCTACGTTTGCATGGTGAGCACGCAGCGACGATCTCGGAGGCGTATTAGAAGCCTGATATCGTACCTGCAGGAGCGATAATTCTCTCCCCGCGGGCTTGGCCCAGCTCCTCGAAAACAAAAACCATCCACAGGCGATGGACACTCCCTACGATGTGGCATTCCCGTTGGAACCAGGCATGTATGCCACGTGCTGGAAAACAACCAGTGGGGAAGACTGGTACGAAAGTTCGTCCCCCGTCAACCTCGTCAACTTTGTTCTCCTGTCTAATTGCATCCAGATGGGTGCATGGGTCCACAGTACTCACGACTGGCGCTGTTCATCAAGAACGTGGCGACGACGGGAGGGCGCACCTCCCGCACCGTTTTCGGCCCCGACGCAAGTTACTTCTCCATTTCAGCCAGAGGATATTCCGGGCAGAATCTTCCGCCCACGCTGGAGGACGATATCCACAAGTGTAGCCGGCTAAGGTGGCCAACAACCGTTGCCCTGGGTGTCCAGGGATCCTACGTCGTTTTATACAGCGATGGCACCGTGACGTTCGATCTACGTGGGCAGTATCCCCTCGTCGAGTCGCTCATTCGCAACACCCAAGAGGCATCTCGTCGGCATGGACTCATGGTGCGTTCGCATTACTTGCCCCCTTTGTCATGCTCATCGGTATCCCACAATTCAGTACATCGCTCTGAATCCCTTCACTGCGGGAGAGTACTATGTTGTATACGGTGACGGCGGCGCGGCCTGGAATTTTCCGGTCGCCTGGAGCGAGGACGTCACATCCATCAGCCGGCAGATACAACCGATCCCCAGCCCAGCAGCAGCAGCAGCAGTCATTTCGGCTGGGACCGGACCACCCCAGGCTGTATACGTCGCCCAGCCCGTTCAGGTGTCCTCTCGGCGGAACGGCGCCCCCACAGCTCGCGGCACCTACGAGCTCGGGCGGCACAAATGTGGTTGCGAGCGTCGGCTACACAATCCAGGCGACAGCTCAACCAATCACCCCACCTCCTTCATATGCCCCGCAAGCGTTTGCTGGCCCCGTCCGCATCGTGGCAAGCGCGCCCGCGCCCGGAGAACCAGAGGCGCACAAAAAGACCTGGCAGGAGCGGCTCGCGATTGGCGTCCAGGTCGCGCAGGACATCGATAAGATCGTCCATGTTATCCAAGACACATCAGACCTGGTGTCCAACCTAACCGGCGACTCCAACTAGCAAGACCCCACCAAAACGCTCGGAGTTCTCATGCGGGCGAGGGCGGGGGACGGTTTATAATACCTAGATAATTATTACTTATAATTCTATATCTGTGATCATGTTCACTTATTCTCAGTAGGGTAATCGCAGTTGAATTCTTTGGGGCTACTCATAGACGTCCGGCACCTTAAATGACTGGAATTGAGGAGAAGAATGATAATCAGCAGTCTTGAACTACGGCGTTCGGTAGACTCCTAACAAGTCTGTCTACGGAGTGCAAAAAGTGGCGAGCACTTTGCCGTAGGCAGACTTGATACTTCTCGTTCGATCGCATTGGGCGAGGCCTGAGTTTAAATTTTTGGAGGAAGCCATCACTAAATCACGGCTGCCATCGATTTCGATTCAACTTTGAGCCTTTAAGGCCACCACCCACAACATGTAGGAAAATTCTGAAGAGACAGATTTCAAGTAAGTATCATTGCATTCAGATCTTACCATTGAGCCTAGTGAAACATATTTAAATTGAGCCCGGGGCGGAAGCCATCAAATTCCCGCCCAGCTCAATGCTATCGAACGAGAAGTACCTAGTCGGCCTACGGCAAAATTGCTCGCCATTTTTTGCACCCATGAGGCAGACTGGTAACGGGTCTAGGCGTTCGGCCGAAGTTGCCGATCGGATCAGGATAGACGGGCCGCCCCGTTCGCGTCTGTCTCCGCCCACCGTGCATCCCAGCCCTAAGCGGCATCGTAGCGCCTCAGGCACCGTATGCTCGCCCCCGCCTTTGAACCCAAGTTGAACTGTTCCGTCCTCCGCTAAACTAAGCCCCTCTTCAAACACTCGCAGCACTGATGGTTAGATGGCTCTGTCCGCGGAACCGACACAGTACCGACTCGGGCCCGTGCATTACTCGAATATCCACACGAGAAACCCCAGTCTTAGGCGCGATGCACGGGTGGCTCTCCGATGCGTTTGTTCCAGTGTCCTAGTTATCCCCCACAAAAAGACTCGGCTGCTCGCACTATGGCGGGGGCTCGAGTCGAACGAGCATCTACGGGGTTCAAGATTTACTGGACAAGGTCACCCGGTGCACACCGTGTGCTACCCCGCCCTCTGTCCCACGAATTAAATTCGAATAAGCCCTAAAAATCTTCCACATGCACACATCTTCGCAATGCAGAGCGCCGTTCCAAATAGTTCTGCCCGCATTTAATTT